TCGTACGCAGTTGTGCCCGAAACCATGAAGTCGCGCGGTGAGACGTTTCACAATTGCTGCCGGATTGGACCTGTCTAAACATCGACGCCATGCTCGTACGCGGCGACTATCATTGGAGAAACAGAAACGTGACTCATTTGGGCCATTCCGGCGTCCACATCACTCGATCCCGGCACCATTGCAGACGTTGGCGTCTATAATGTGGAGTCAATGGCAGTCTTCTTAACGGACGCCACGAGTGCAGGTCACTAGCCACCAATCGACGGCAAATGGTTCTGGTTGATATGGGAACATCCAAGGTGTCTTAAACATGCTGCAGAATGGAGGCAGAAATGGCTTTCGGATGCGCTATTGCTTTTCGGCGGATGCGTCGATCCACGCGTTCCGACGTACCTCTGACTGCACCGGCACCCCTCGAACTTGCCACATTTCCTTGTTCCAACCATCGTCGCCACTGCCGGTGCACTGTGGACGCGTCCAACTGAAATTTGCTGTATGGACTAACCTGCCCTTCTGGAACTGTGTTGACAATAGCTTGGCATTCTCTGCTATTACACGCGTCCTCTTAAACAAGAACAAATTTTTTACGATTGTTTCCCTAGTAGAAATAACGGTACGAAAAACTGAACATTCTGCGGGTTGCTTCCCTTATATCTTCTTCAACGTGCGAGCTGCGCATTTCACATCATTCGCATAACTCGGAGACGTGCGTCTACCCTGAAATTTGCATCATTTTCAGGCCACTCCTTCTTTGTGTTTCATTTTCAGTGTCGGGTAGTGTATAAGCAATGAAACATCCGTCCCGGTAGCGGATGTATGTTAGCACTTGTGGTTCAAATTGCGATAGGAATGCTGCTGAGAACGTTTGCACGTCATCGTGTTATGTTATGGTCTGATGTCATTTTCGAAATTTTGCATGAACTCGCATATAATCGTTCAGCGGAGACGAGACCACCGACTGTATGCTTGATTAGTGCTGCAAGATTTCAATTATTCTTGTGTTTTCTTTAAGTTTGAACCTAAACCAGTTTCTTTTGAGTTCGCATATGCTTAAGGAATATATTTATTAGAATAGCCGAATAAGAGAAGAAATACAGTTGGTAAACTAAAGCGTGTGAAAAACATTGTGAAACTTTTTCTAGAATATTGGAAGTCGGAACAAGCAAGACGAAGTTCAGTTATAATGACAAGAAATATATGTCTAGTCAGGGTGGAGTTTGTAAGACAGAATCTGCACTCTTTGATGTTGTACTTATGTATAATATATTGAAATGCATAGATATGAGATGCATAGCTCCAAAGATCCAAGCAAGAGCCACTATATATCCTCGTTGCTTACAGCTAGTGAATGATAAGCTTCGGGAAAAGGATGCAAACATTTTGATATTCATGCCGTTTTCATCTGTACGTGATTCAGTGTTTGTCTTTATATTCCTAGACTAGTTTTCTTTCCTTTTCGCTTCTATGAAAAGAAATTAAGTCTAGGCATTTGTAATTAGGTGTTAATTTTTCTTTAAACTGCAGAAAGTATGAACAAAAATATATAATTACCCTAACAAATGATCGTAACAATCAATTTTATTGAATTTAACCTTGATTATCGTTTTCTTCCTTCATGTTTAAATATGGAAAGACGTCATTTTTATCATTCGCTTTGTTTCTAAATACAGAAAGTGCTTTCTTTATGGAGTCTTAAATTAGTCTTGTCTTCTATCTGTAATAGCGGTATGTTGATTTTCTTCGGACATCTTAACGTTCATTGATTCTGTATTCTTAAATGTTATTTATTTGCTGTGTTTCAAGCGCCCATCCGCATATCAATTACCGGAAAACGCATAATAAATTAAGCAATTCGCTTTCTCGCAATGGTACTGCAGAACAGACTGTGGGAGAGAGATCTCCCTTTTAAATTAAATTCCTTACAAAAGTACGGTTAAATAATTGGATTCACCGGTCGTGTATGGACTTTAATGGGATTTGACGAAATAAAGTAATGAAGACGAATTGGTTCTGGCCTTATTGCTATTAGATTGTTGTCTTGTTTGCTGTTCAGCAGAAAGGCGTTCTGAGTTTTATTTTTTGGTGTACCTACTCTTGAATGAGACAATAAAATTAAAAGCGGAATCTTCTTGTGTCATCCAGAAGTTTAAAATATTTGTTTTTAATTTTGAAGAAAAAATATTTGACTAGAATATATGAAAGAGACATTAAGCTGCGATAAGAAAGAAATTTTTTAGGTTTAATAAATAAGGTGTAGATCTTGTCAGGTCTTGTATGTCTTTTGACTTGCTTTGGAAATATTACGTGTCCTGAATAGGAACAGGGAGCTTACTAAAGCTATGTTCAAGTTTGTGTGGAATAGACGACACAAGCAGGAAGGGTGTACTGAACCCTTTATTCTCTATAAAGTTACAGGTGCTCCCGTACTTCGGGATACAAGAGCAACCACTTGTGGTCTGAACGTAAAAATATAAAACTACTAACTAAAAGCTAACTTTGAATTAGTTTACAAATGCCTAACACTAAGACTGGCCTTTTTAAAAGGTTACGTAGGTAGTACGCAAACTGCTGAAACTACAATACGTTTTGAATATTAAGAGGACTAAACCTCTGGCCTTAAAGGTAAGCAGCAACTGATTGAAAACTCGTAAGAATGCAGTGGCAAGGCGGCTCACTCCCCCTCTCTCTCTAACTCTTGGCAAAAAGCCACAACTTAAATACTTGGGCGTTAGCAAGTACAATTTGCATAAACAAGTTAAAGCATTTAATTCTGGCCGAAGTGGAAAATAAGAAAAGATAGTACAGTTTTAAAATAAAATAAACGTTAGTAAAACTTAAGATCCTTACAATCTTATGTTCTATTAGTAAATTATTTAAACCTGCATATCTCTAATCGACTGTGGAATGTTTCGTTTTGGCTCATAAAATAAGTTCCTAGATGAGAATATACTCAAAAACACTTTTAATGTACTTTGAACTGTCTGTTGACAGAACGGCATATAAAATTGTTTATTGAAATAATAAATATTTTATCTAGATGTTATATATCAAAGTTTAATGATTTATTCTATTAATTCTGTATAAAAATTTAAATGATATTCCGAAAGCGGAAGATTTGGAGTCCCTTCTTACAGCGTAATGTATAGGAAAACACTTTTTTCAAAATATTCTAATCCGATTTTTGTTAGCATATAAAATATGAAACAAAATTACTAACAAAATTATTAATTAGAACCAATTAGCAATAGACCTTTAAATTCATAATTTTTAATTAAACACATTCCTTACTCAAGGATACGCTTTGCGCCACTCCGTAGCATGTTACCTCACTCTTTCCACGCGATTTCTCTGTTCTTTAACATTTTGCAATCTGGAAATCGTACCAGATACTATAAGACTAAATTTTTTCTGCTATAAACTGCCTCGTATTCTATTACTCTTTGTATCCTTTCTTTAGGGGAGGTACAAGCAGTGATAGTACACGCCCGCAGTCTCTCTAGAAATATTCCTAATCCCCCAATTTTTTTTTTTTTTTTTTTTTTTTTTTTTTAATTAAGGAAGTCAGCTATGGTCATGAACTGAGTAGTCGAAATTTTCCCACTAGACACATTCCTCTGACCATAGTTTCAACCCAAAGTGCTACTACACACACAACACACTACACCCATTTCAAATTTTTTACTATTATTTTTGTTATTATTGTAGGGTAATGTTAGATTCTGTTTACTAAATTTCTGCGACAGAACTTGAGGATACCAGTTATTCGTCTTAAATTAAATTTTCTTAAATTATTTTATATATATTTATTTGTATTACAAGAACCTAATGTAAAAGAATTGTTTTGGCCATAAAATTAAATTGAAACTTTGATTTTATCAAGCAATACTAAAAACCAGTTGCTGTTTAAAAGGAACAGGATTTTTATATTTAATTGTGTTTAAGCATCCCACAGCAATCAACAAGTTGTCACGCTAATTCGCTTGTAGAGGACCCTTAATTTTGTCAAAATTATTATTACATTGTATAAGGTATTTCTCCCGCCTTCTCAGCGAGCCTTCGTGGTGTAGTTGTCTGCACGCTCAGCGCGTAATTGAGAGGTCCGTTTTTCGATTCCCGGAAAAGACATTGCTAATTTTTAATTAATTTTTAATTAAACGCATCCCCTCTTCAAGGATACACTTTCCACCATTTTGCGCTGCTCTGCAGCATGTTACGTCATTCTACAATTTCTCTGCTCTGCGAAATGTTTTGCCCAGTCGTCAGTCAGGATTAAAATGAAGAATTTCCGAGCTTATAAATACTACTGCAATTAGTACACATCACTCTTTCGCTGCTTGTTCTGCCAAAGAAAGCCACGGCTTTTCGCTAAGCTTCTTTCTATGTTACCTAAAATATAAGCTGTGTATATAAAAATCGTGGAACGCGTTTAACACCCTTAGTGTTGTACCAGTTTAAGTGAAAAAAGGATTTCAGAATAATTGTTCCTGATCAAAATAAAAATGATAACCAGCAAGCCAGTTTTGATTCCGCTCCACTCATCTAAAAAAAATATTTTGATCAAAATTTTATTATTATTTTTTCACAATTGTATTTTCATTGTTTTGCTAATGCTTTAATGTTTTCTTTTAAAAAAGGCTTTTCTGTCGCCTAGCCTTTTTTTCTTTGAAGGGGGGAGGAGTATGTAAGATAAAAAATATGTAAATCAGGTTTATAATTTAATTTAGTAATAGCCTCTTAATTTCGCATTTTTAATTTGGGTATTTCTTCTCTGTATTCTAAAAATAGTAACTTTTCTGGATTGCGTCATTTCTAGATCGATCCATCTTGCATGCCTTGCGTAGTGCTGATGACGTAGCTAATTCGGAACCTGAACTCAAAATTTCGAGAACTGAAAACTTTATAATCTAAACCGAAACCTCCTTTTCGTAAGCCTCCGTATTAGATAACTGCGCACTTTAGCTTCATCTCTCTTGCAGTTAAGAGGCTAGTTCGCTCCCTTTGCTTCGTCGTGATGCTAACTGCGCCGTTATCCAAAATGTGATACTCTGTATAAAAGTGTGGGGGTGTGTATTGCGCCCATGATCATGTGTGACGAAAATTATGTTTTCGGCAATTAGTTCGTGTCCAGCAATAGAAATTATGTTCGATTTGGCCACTTGTGTCTACAAGTCTCTCCTTCGAATGCCATCTTTCTAATTACTTTGTGAAATCTTTCTAAGTTAGAACGCAGAGGACCACCGCCAATCCGTTGCAGCTCACTTCAAGTCAACCATATTACATATTTAGTATATCTTAGTTGAGGGAAAAATAGGAATTATCGCCGCATATTCAGGCTTTCTAGACTGAAGTTGACTGGGTTAGTGCTTGCGATCTCTACTGAATTATCATTTTATTTTTATTTCGTATCTCTGCAGGTAAATAGTCTATTATAACATAACAGCTGTAAGGTACTCCAAATACCTTGATTTTGTTCTGGTTAAATGTAGTAAGGAACTTCAATTATTATTATGTGTCAATATCTTAATTGCCCTGAAATTATCTGATAATATGCAAAACTTTCTGTATGCGTAAATACTAAATATACCAATCATATGAACATCATAGAATACAACCATTCTTTATTAATTTATTAAGGGATTATTTAATATTTTAAGTATTTAATATTTAATATCACTGATATTGAATAATTTAACTATTAATAATTATTTAATTTTAACATTTAGATCAGAATATAATAATCTGCTATAAAGAAAATAAAAAAAAAGCTTTTGTTAACAACTGTTTTTAATCATAATTTTAATCCCGTGGATTTCGTTTTGCAAAACCCAAAAGAAAATTAATTTTTAAATTTTTTTTATTTTGAAATATGATTTCTCGAATTGGAACTTAGAAAGTAGAGGTTATAATTTCTTTCACAGAGGAAACGTTTTCACGCTTTTGCGCTCATTTATGAATGTTTCATCATCAGTTCCGTAAGATAAGGATGAAGAAGAAGCGGTAGAATTTTCATAGGTTACAGGAGTGTTATCTGTTGAAAGTTTTAGCATGAGTTTTCCATTACTTTTCACAAAAGAATATATATATAGTTGAAAATAATTTATAAAAATAATTTTGTACAATTGTTTACATCATTACTTCAGAAAGGCGTTTTAAAATTGAGGTTAATGATGTCTCAAAACGGCTTTTATTAATCATTTGAAATATCCTATAGTTTTATGTATATATAATATATTCAGGCTCAGAAGCAATGACGAGGAAATCGGAGGCAAAGGCAGATTAAATCTTCAGTTTTGTTAATAGCAACATGTTGTGGCTACACACAAGTCGGAAAATTAAATGTGCCTGTTCCAAAAGGCTTACATTTTTGATAACTTTGTAGTAAGAAAGCAGCAGCAGACAGACACAGCAGTCTAGCTAGGCCAAAGCGTGGAAAGCAAGTACGTAATGTTCAGGAGATTTTGATGCACATTAAATTTGATACAAAAAACACAGTAACTGATGGTTTAATAAAATACGAAAATTATAATTCAGGCGAATTTGTTTCTGAGTTTGGGTGCAACATTAAAGCTTTTGTTAAGCATTTAAAAAAACACTGGCAAGCATTTCGAAAAATATTTTAATAAAAACTGATTTGTCATGAATTCTATGTTATTGCAGAAATTGCTATGCTTAGAGTGGCCAGACATTTGCGATGCCAGTTCCAGCCAACACAGTTTTGATAATTTCAAAAAACTTCGTTAAGTTGTATTTCATCGAAATTCCGAGACAAAAAATAGCAATAAGCAAGCTATCAAAAATCATATGTTTCTTAAAGTACCTATCATAGGTTTCTTACCTAATCCTCTTCCGGCAATTGTATTTTTCTCGTGATTTTTCTTCTTCTTCCCCCTCTCCCCTTGAATTCGTTCTTTGTTTCACTGATATTACTTTTTCTATTTGTCATAACCTTTAAAGTGGTAACCTTTATTGAACCTTTTTGCAAGTGCCTTTGCATTATTTATAACGGAAAACATGCGCTTTATTGCTGCACGTGTCCAATATCCACAGCCATAATAAATTATTCAGATTTAAAGGAAAAGAAAACTTGGACCATTGTTGAATTTTTCAGCTGTTGCAAACCTTTTAAATACGATATGTCATCAAATAGCTCACGATCATTTAATTCTTCATTGTTAAGGTAATTTCTTACTAAAAATTAAGCTTTCTTCTACTTCCTTCTAATCTGTTGTATTTTTCAGCGAGTCTCATTTAAAATTCTGTCTTCTTTGTTAAAATACTTTTCTACAAAAATTTAGCTTTCTTTCATTTCCTTCTAATCTATCGTATTTTTCAACGCTGCTTATTTAAAATTCTGTAGCTAACTGAATTACGTTGCTCATTTTTTTACGAAAAAGTACGAAGTAAGTACGAAAAGTAGCTGAAATAGAAACCGAAAACTTCTTTCAACCATACTTTAACATTTTAAATGTAGTTTGTATTCATATATCAAGTGGCTGTAAACAATTTTGATGCTTTGTATTTTGATGTCATATTTTATTTGTGTTTTTCTTTATGTAAATTTAAGTGGTGCCTGATTGTAATATTTATTGGGAGTGGTAAGTAAATTCATGTGAAATCAAGTGGGGAGTGTTACATATTTTTCACGGCATTCGGCTAGAGGGCGCTGCCTCTACAGTAATCGGCAGCAGGCAAGCTGCTAAGCGCGTAAGATATGGAAGGCAGAGATAGCCTAATAATATATTCTTAATTATTTAATTATTGTTGTTATTTGCTTACTCAATTATTGTTGTTATTATTTGAAGGAATATTCTTCCACCATTAGCGACAATGAATCATCGTACGCATATCATGTGATTTGTAAACCAAACTTGTTCATTGATATTCGTAAATTGCCTATGGACCGTATGATTTCACTGAAAAATTTTATAGAACCTGTTGTTCATTTTTTAACATATTTGGAGTTCTGATCTCGCAAAACTTAACTTTACACTAATAACACTAGCAAAATCTGCGTCTAGTATTTACAGTATATTGGATAATTTACAAAACTATAATCCGTTCATAAAATTTTCATTCAATTTTTCTTTTCCTTTTATTACTCAAACGTATTGATTTACAAAGAATTTAGTTGGATAAACTCTTGGGTCTCGGGACCATCTGTAATGTGACAAAATCACTGATCTGGAAGTTCACAAGCCTCACCACAGCTGGATAAACCATTAAGTAAAATAAGCATGTGCTTAGGACATCAAGAAAAGGGTGCATCTTAAAAATCTCCCTTTGCCGGTTTTACCTAAGAATGTATGCACAGATAAATCAAAATTGAGTATATTGTATATTGTAAATGTATGTGGGGGTACCGAAATCCCTTAAGTGCTAAGACTTCTAGCAGGCAGTTTTATTCACTGATGCCGGATTAGTGATAATCAGCTTCTATAAAAATATATTTTAATACTTCTATAAAATACAAAACTACACATCTGAACATTCGGATCGTTAAACTTTTTTGAATTTCCGTGCAGTATATTTTCACGCGAAAGCAGTACCTGTTGTAAGATGAACCCCTCTTTACTATTCATAAAGCAAAAATGCTTCTGAGCAGTTAAATTGTAGTATCTTTCTACTGTTGTTGAATAAGTACGAGCAAAGATTTGCTTACAATATACATTCTTTTTTTAAAACATAGTTGTTAAATATAAGCACATGTAACTAACTGATTATAGATGCAGTTTGAAGCGAAAAGCGCTTACCTATGAGATGAAATTTTAGACTTCAGAATTATATATAGATTTGATAAGCTTATAAATGAAAGAGAAATTTGTTTCGAAATCCTGTTCGGTTCTCAGTGGGTTAGCGATTTTTCCCTAATGGAACTGCTGTCAATTGGATTAGATAGGATTATTTAATTAAGCCTAAACGCACGAGAATTAGCTGCCTAAAGTTATCGGAGATTCTAACCACTGATTAGGAATTTTGCTTTTAACACTATTAAATAGATTCAAACCTTTACATTTTACTTTCGCACCATTCAAGGCTTAACTTCCAAATTTAAGTGCCGGTGCGCTGTGGAAAGTCTTTCCAGAAACATAAACAAAAATAAATAAATAATTAGTGATTAAAATTAAGTTAAATGCAAAAATGTAAAATATTAATAAAATTAGATCTGTAATAAATTTACAAATCACAAACTAATATAATATAAACGTATCATAAAAATTAAATTAATAATAAAAATCTTAAATAATATCAATAAAAATGTTGATAAAAGTTACTTGTTAACAAAACCTATTAAAATAAGAATAGAAGTAATCAAAGAATAAAAAAACTATAATAATAATAATAAAATTAAGTAGATAATTAAAAAATATTCTTAATGCCGCAAATGCTTATAGAGTCTCATTCTCATAAGTTGCATAAACTAACGAGCTCTAAAAAGACTGTACGAGGAATTATTCTCAGGTCTTAACGCAACATAAAATTCAGAAGAAGGGTGCAAAGAACCCATTATTCAATCACATATAGTTGAACAGATGCCCACGCTTGGCTGACATAAAGCCAACACTTCTGGCTTAACTCAAACAGGTAATGTTGAACTTAAAATATAATAAAATTAGCCTAACGACTCACAAAATAAATTAACGCACAGGAAAGCTCTGACTCGTAAAAGCCGGCGAAAACAAGCTCAATGGCTAGAAGCACTCAACGCTACAAAATCAAATTGCAAGAAATTCAAAGTAACAACGTGGCCTTCAAGCAGGCATAACACGCTCTAAAATCATCTTCCAAATGCTTCGCTTAAATACCACTTCTTTCTCACTTAATTTGAATGCACGTGCGCTAACTCATTAGCATTCTGGTAGGAAAGCGTCAATGAAAACGAAACTGAAAGGAAAATTGATTTAACTAGAAATTAACTGTTAGTCATGGTCATAATTATCAAGTGTATATATTATAAATTAAATGCTTTTTTTTTAATCAGAAGCGATCCTAAAAATTAAATTTAAAGAAAGTTTCTTTTATTACCTTTAAAATGCTTAGTGTTTTTTTTTTTTTTTTTTTTTAAAGCAGTTTAGTGATAATTTGAAAGAAATATCTTAGCATCAAATAGAAAGCCAGACTTTGGAAAGTTCCTGTTTGGCAGCTGTCCTGCTAACCATGGTAACGATAGCTGTAATGATATGGTTGAGTCCCTGAATTGCTTTTTTTCACTTTATATTCCTTTATCGTGTTTCACGTCCTGAAGATTGACTTGAATTACCATCTCAGATGAAAATAAGGTTTCGTTTGTGATGACACGCGTCACGATCGTAATTGAGGGAGCGTCGTAAAGACCCTGAAGTGCCTATTTTTAAAGTT